GAGTTCGCCCCAAAAAGAATAGTTGGCGTGGGAGGCCTGGCATGAGGGCGAGCACTCTCGAGGGTGGTGAGGCGCCTTCAAATCTGGACATGGGAGAGGGGGGGGGGGTTACCATAGTGCTTGGGCGGCGGGGGTGTCGTCGTTCGATGTCGTAGAGGGCGTTGACTTTGCGGAGGGTGCCAAAGGCGTTTTTGAGGTCGTAGAATACGGTGCGCGGCATGTAGGTCTCGGTGCCGTCGGGGGCGAGACCGGGGCGGAAGTGGATGTCATGGTCGATGGGGGATTCGGGTTGGTCTGGGGAGTAGGTAAAGTAGGATTCCCTTGGAATTGGGATTTTGTTAGATTATTTGTCTCTCAAGTGAGGCGAACGAGGGTGAGGTATAGGAGGGGTAAATAAATGATAAAACAAAACTCACTTGGGTATTCCAAAAATGAGTGGCAAGGTAGTTGGCCTGCTGCCCAAATTGGAGTGTGATGGTTTCGTGCATTTTGGGTTAGGTTAAAGAAAAAAGATAATAGGACCCAAATGAGTGATGAGTGAAGGTGAGTTCGTTCGTGAGCTCCGTTCTCAAGGTGGATGCTCTCACACCGGATGCTGCTTGATGTCATTGTAAACCCTAACCCTTCGTACCACCATCGTGTCATCACCAGTTCACCAAGCAAACTGCATCAGAATCATCGTGGATATCCGCCCTGCTAATTTTGGTTTACAGTATAGATCCTATCGTGCCCTATCTCGATACAAACGGTCATAATGTCAAGACTGATACAACAGACAAGTATAAAAACAAGTATCGAAACAAACCCGCCGTCATCATTGCCCTCGTCTATCCTGCCGAACCCAGTCTAGCCAGTGGTCTAAATTATTTTCTCAAGCCCCAGACTCCATTAACATCCGCCGCAGGTGACAAAGGAAATCGGAAATCGGAAAAAGGAAACAGGCCGGCTCGCCCGCTGCATGCCAGAGGATCCCATAAATAGGAAAAGGAAGCCAACAACCCCCCCCCTCGCCCCCGCTCCCCGTTTACTCGCGCGAAAGATCGCGGCCAAACACCTTGGACTTGAGCCAGTCATTGATCACCAACAGACGGTTCCGGGTGCTGAAGCACATGCTGATGTAGGCGCTGCGCCAGAAGAGGTAGGTCAGGCTGCCGGCGGCGGCGACGTTGCCGTTGAACCAGGTGACGTCGGCCACGGCCTTGTCGCTGCCGATGTAGGCGAGGCTGCCCTGGTGGCTGTAGTGGAAGGGCTTGGCGTCCTTGATGCGGCGCAGCTGGCGCTCGTAGCTCTCGATCTCGCGCGAGACGGCCGCCGCGTTGCCCGGCTGCAGGTTCAGCGACGAACTGAGCTCGCTGATCTTGCCCTCGAGCGCCTCCGTCATAGCCATGTTGTTGAACAGCCGCGCCAGGAAGGTGCCCTCCTGCCCGGCCACCTGCGCCGTGGGCGCGTACCCGGCCACCGCGCAGTCGCCCACCGCCCAGATGTCGCGCGTGCCCTGCACGACGAGGTACTCGTTCACGGCGAGGCCGCGCCGCGAGTTGGCCTGCGCGGGGATGCGCGAGATCAGGTCCTTGATCACGGGGCGCACGGCGTTGCCCGTCGCCCAGACGAGCAGGCCATAGGGGAAGACGATGGTCTCCTTCTTGCCGTCGGGGCGCGTCACCTCGGCCTCGACCGTCTTGTCCGTCACCTTCTTGACCATGGTCTTGGTGTGGATGTCGATCTTCTCCTCCTTGAAAGTGCTCTCGGTGTAGTCGATCAGCTGCTTGGAGAACATGGGCAGGACGTTAGGGAGGGCCTCGATCAGCGTCACGCGGAAGCGATCCGCGATCTCGGGGACCAGCTTCTTGATGTCCTCCTCGAAGAAGTCCTGCAGCTCGCCGGCAAACTCGACACCGGTCGGGCCACCGCCGACCACGACCATGTGCAGGAGACGGTTGATCTCCTCGGGCGACTGATCCTTGAAGGCTGCCGTCTCGACACAGTCCATGATCCTCTTGCGGATCCGCTGGGCGTCGCCAATCTCCTTCAGGAAGCACGAGTGGTCGCGCACGCCGGGGATGCCGAACGTCGCGTTCTCGGCGCCCACGCCGATCACCAGCATGTCGTATGGTACCTCGGTCTCGGTGATGTCGCCCCTGATCTCCGAGTTGTCAAAGATGCGCACCACCTTGCGGTCGGGGTCGATAGAGCTGGCCTCGGCCTCGTAGAACCGGACGCTCGCCTTCTTCTGGCGGAGGATGGTCCTTATCGGCTCCATGATGGAGCGGTGCTCGATGGTACCGGTTGTGCATGACGGAAGGAGGGGGGTAAAGAGGAAGTAGTTGCGCGGCGAAATCACAATGACGTTGTAGTTTTCGGTGTCGAGACGCTTGAGCAGCGAGACGGAGCCCCACCCGGTCCCTGTGGCACATGTCAGCAAATGTGAAAACCACCGGGCGGCGCAGGAACGGCCAACTTACCAAGGATGACGAGGGTCTTCTTGGACGGGTCAGGCACGATTTGGTCCTCCGGATGCCTATCCTCGTACACGCCGTAGCCGATGTAGCCGATGCCGGCTATGGCCGAAAGATATCCGAGTCGCCAAGCCCATCTTAAGACCCGGAACCGTGACTTCTTGGGCGGCGGGACGGGGGCGGCATCGTTGGAAACGCCGCGGCGGAAGTGCCGCGAGACGGGCCCTTGTGTGCTGCCAAAAACGGGCCTTGCGCCAACAGTCCGGCGAGATGTCTGGAGTAGCAATCGAGGGGCAGCCCGCGATTGTTGCAGCAACACGGCACCGGGGGGGACCGCGAGCTTGCTCAGAGCCCTCGACGTGGACGCCATGGCTCAATGGGGGAGCAGGGTATGTGGGAAACGGCTGACAACGCCTGGAGAGGGAATAAAGGGTGCTAGTTCACGAAACTTGTTCGTCGAGAATGAGGAAGAGGGCAAGCTGAAAAGTTTCAACGGACTTTTGTTGCGTGGGATAAAGCGGCGCAAATTGATATTGGGTGACTAGGATAAGGCTGGTGGGACTGCCGGGAGCTTCCTGGGCCCGCTCAAGGCCCGTCACATCTTTTTTTTTTATCCCACCATTGCGACTTTTATCCTATTCGCCGACTTTGTTAGCGCCTCGTTCGGGGGCCACTCAAACACCCACGCTGCCCCCACGACACCCCACCGCAGCCTTTTGCCAAGGCTATGACAGGGCCTGGCCTTGATGACGACAGGATTCTGGACTGAGGTGTTTGGAAGTTTTGTTCTGCTTTGAAACCCCGATCGCGGGAGTCGACAAAGAGTCATTTTTTCATTCCCCTGCTACAATTGGGGCAAACCACGCACAGAAAGGGGGAAGACAAGACTAGGTAATGCCTTGAGCTAAACAGTGGAGACCCCCCACGTCCCATCTCTGAAACTGTACCTTTCTCTTCTCTTGACTCGAGTCCGAAAAACGGAACCCGGCATTCAAATGCTTCCATTGCAGTCCGCCGCCTCACCACCACGCGTTCCCGGCTTGTATCCCCCCCTTGCTGTCAGACTCATAACACAGTCAGATCACATTCAGCTGGGCCATTCCATCTCCCCGAGTCTTTCCGACACGGATGGTCATCCCGGTTTTTTACGATACTTAGGGGTGACCGGAAATATCGTCATCACATGCCTCGTTCGACTAAAAGCACAGCTATCGGGACAGTCAGGCAGAAGCCAATGTGCTCCGGAGGGCGCACTGTCGGGCATAGGTGGTACATACATTGAACCGGTTTCTGTCTTAGAGCCTTTCACACGCACAGACCCGGCAGCCCCCCGGACCGGTACCGAGCCTACCGAGGCTCGTAGCCCCGGAGGCCGATCGGTTGCGTGCCCTGAACTCCGGGTTGCTCCGGACTGTATGTATGCGCAAGATGCGCATCCTCAGCGAGCCCGAGACATTGCAGACCAAGTAGATGTAAGTTCTGATAGGCGGAAATTCCAATGCCGGTTCACATCAAAAACGATCATCACGAATCGGTCAAATCTTGCAACGTCCACGGACGGGCTTTCTGTAAAGGTCGGTGGCGCCAAGGTCGGGTGTTGATCGATGCTGCTGTGGAGGAAGGAACATTCCTACCAACCTACCATGGAAGACAACCCGCTAAATGCACCTGAAGTTTGGGATTCGAGCCTGTCCCGGTTTGATCTTTCATGTCGGAACCGAAAGTCGAAGTCAAAAGTCGCCCTGACGTCCCATCGGCCCGCATCTCCTATTTCGCACTCTCCTTTCATCAATCATCGCGCATGAACGATCGGCTGGGATCGGTCCCGCATGGAAATGCGACCATCTCAACCCCGCAGTCCCAGACTCGTCCCATGTGCGCTCGGGAACTTTGCCTTTTTTCGGTCCAGGCACATTCGTTGGATTTCATCCATACATGTCATGTCACTCCCAAGGCACCAGGGCAATTGACATGTTTGTATTGCGCGGTATGTATGTACCACATGCGATGATCTGGGGAAATCATGGCCTCAGCGTTCGAGGCACTGTTCTCCCCAGAAGATCGAGTGCCGGTTTCCCGGCACATTCCGGATTGACCAGCTGTGAACTTGACTGATCTACTCCATGCCGTTTTCTGTTAAATGCGGAAGCAGACAGGTGACTTAACGGCAAATAAGCAAACGACGCAGCCATCGACGCGCCGCAGCACCCGAGAGTCGGCGTCTGGGCTCGGATCAGAATGGGCTTGCGACAACAACACGACGAAACTAAGCCGGTAGCGAGTAGCGGGTAGCGGGCAACGGGCAGAGGCCCCTTTCGTTGCGGGCATCGGATTCATAAATCTGTCTCCGAATGAGCGGTTGTGACTTCGCCTATCTGAACCGACAAACCCATTGCAACCGCGCTTCTCAGCGCGTCCCTCCTGCTTCGTCTCGGCTGAAACGTCATCCCCATGCTGAGACGTTGAACCCCCTGGCCCCTGTACCGCACTTGGGTGGTTTTCTCAACCGTCACAATTGGCGTCGGCCTGTGCGCTTCCGCAGCTGCGCTGCATGCGCCAGTGACCGCCTGCCAAACTCGGTCTTCGTCGAGCTCATGTTGTCGAGGCTTGGCAAATAGGGGTGCAGCTGGTGAAGTCTCACCAAAGCGGAAGAGCTGCCCAGCATCCCCAACATGAGAGATTCACTACTTGCCACAGCTTGCGATGGCAAGACAAAAAAGAACATTCGGGGAAGTCAGTGATATTCTCACTCAACCCCAATCCGGCTTGAAATCCACCTCTCGGCCCTAAAGGTCGTGCTGGGGCATCGTGGGCATCCATCTCCCATGGCGGTGATCCCCCGCCCCGGGACGATTGATACTCGGATCCGAGATCCGTGAGGCGTCTCCAGCTCGTGGATCCAGTCCCAGGAGCGATGGCAGATTCCATATACCCCTGTCCCTTTCTTTAACCCTGTCTCGTGGCGGCTCCCTCAGTCATCCGATCCCCTGATGCACTCGCTGGCGGGAGCTTGGGCCCGTCAAATTCATGCATCTGCTCGGCAACTTGGCCAGCTCGAGCAACGTCTAGGCGGCCAGGGCTTGTCCCTCGTCACAGCTTTTTTTCCTCCTTGCTGTCTTCTTCCCTCCTTCTATTCACTTCACGGGGCCGGCTACCCACTCTTCTTCTGGCTTCATTCCGTCTTCAATTTTGTTTATTTTTTCTTCTAGATTATTTATTCTTGTAATACCGTTTCCATTGCTCAAGGCCAGAGAATCGCATATAACCATCTCGACAGCACGCTTGAATCGGAAATACGCCAATCTCAGCCCATGACATATCGAGCGTAGCAGAACCCAAGGCACCATAACACGCCGGCTGTGTCCATTCTACAGATGACCCAAGGATGCCAGGGTCAGAAGGAGAGGGAATGGCACCACTAAACAACCCCTCAGGGGCCACCGGGCGAAGTTGGTTGAGCGGCAGACCTAGGCCATGGCGAAAAGTCAACCTATCTCGACGACAGGATAATGGAGGTGACGGCGGGAACGATGGTGGGCGCGGCCGCTTTGGTAACAACGGCGGCAATGGCGATAATAACGACAGAGGAGGAGGGTTTTTTCGGGGCGGGCAGAAAGGCGACGATAATGGCGGGGGTGGGGGATTCGGCTTTGGCAGCGGTAACGGCGGTGGTAACGGCAACGGTTTCGGCAACGGCTTTGGCAATGGCTTTGGAAATGGGAGGGGAGGCGGGGACGGGAACCGCTTTGGCAACGGCAACGGCAACAACGATAAAGATGATGACGACAATGATGGTGGCGATAGGAGTAGAAACAGGTTTGGCGACGGCAACGGCAGAGGCGGGAATGGTTTTGGCTTCGGCAACCGTTTCGGCGATGGCGACCGCGGGAGAGGGAACAACAGGGGAGGGGGAGGCTTTGGGAGAAATAGGGACGGCAATGACGGCGACGGCAATACCAGTTCAGAGTCCGGTTCTGTTGAAACACCACAATCAACGGATCCACCCTCGGAATCGCCGTCACCGACATCAGAATCGGAATCAGCACTACCAGAACCGACATCAGAATCAGCATCAGGGGCACCAGGGGAATCACCGCAACCAACTCCACCCCCCGAGCCTATCCCATCCTCGACCGAGCCTGTCCCGGCAACAGAAGTATCGAGCGATTTTAACCAAGGTGTAATCTTACTGCAGTCTGCTGTAACGGGGAGTCCAACCGCTGAGGTAAGCACGCCTTTGCCCTCCCCTACCATCACACTCTTACACTACAACAGGCAGACCCGACTGTTACCCAGTTCATCCCCATAATGCCAGTCAACGACGTAGCAGGCTCTGGGTCAACCGAGCTTGTCGAGTCCGAGACTGAGCCGCCAGTCTCGGGACCTCTGCCAACGACGATGCCTAACTCTCCCCCAACCGGAGGGCCAATGGACAACAACATCGCGAATGGAAACGGCAGAGGCGGGGATGGTGCAGGTAATAGACTTGAGTTGGCACAGTCTGGTATGGACCCGACGGCCGAGCGTATCCTGATTTCGGTTGGTTCAATAGGTATGATGAATGTCGGTTGCCGGGCAGTTTCGGTTCCTGAAAGCTAACAAGGCGGTTAGGTGGCTTCATTCTTGTCTGCTTTATTACTTGGATGGCTTGGCGTACCATGAAGAAGTCGAAAAGAGCTGATCAGGCTGGTGGCCGCGGTGGACTTTCGAGAAAAGTTAGCTCCAAGTTCCCCTTCTTTGGGCGACGGGGCTGGCGAAACTTGGAGGACTCGACGACAAGCCGATCCCCACCACCCAGCTACCGCGAGAAGACAGGCAGTGTGGGTTTTGCATCAGGGGAGGGCTTCTATGAGCCGGAAAAGGTGCAAACCCAGCAGCCCCCGCAACAACCGTGGCCCCAAAGTACCTCAGAGACTATGATACTCTCAGGACATGGCTCAACGCACTCTGGTATCATGTACCAGCCGCCACCCAATCCTAGAGATACATGCACGGCCGCCAACCGCCCCCACATCACGCTTATGACCAATATACCGGCGGCATACTCACATCAACCCCAAGGGTCCTTTAGTTCCACGAATGCGGCCCAGTTCGGCACCATAATGACACCCGAGAGCACAGCGAGCCCCATGCACTCCGGGGTCTCGCCGGCCTCGTACTACAACCAACCCCTCCTTGCCCAGCAGTTCACCGCGCCCTACAACCCCCTCTACCGACAGCCCAGCCGGACCATCAGCGAAATCTCTTCCCTCTCCTCCGGTTTCGGAGACGGCGACATCATCGTCAGAGACCCGATGATCACCCCTCCCGCGCCGACCGCCGTCCCCGGCTCGTCGCCAACCAACAGCCCCCAGCAGCACCCACCCCAGCTTCCGCAGCCGCAATACACAACCCGCTTCTCCTGGATGTCCCAACCCAAGGGGCCAACACACACAGCCCACCCAACTTCAACAATAGCAGCAACCGGGACACCACCGACAGCAACAGGCGGCCCAACCCCAACGAACGCCCCAACACGACAGGACAGCACCGCCAGTAGTAGCACTAGCGGCCGGCGCGAGACGGTCTACACGGAGACGAGCGAGGACCAGCCGGCGCGGTTCCGCAGCGTCACGTCGTGGGTCGACCAGCAGACGGGGCGCATCAAGCGTGTGCAGCAGAGAGGAGTGGCAACTGAGGTGTCTGTGGGTGCGGCTGGGGATGGGGCTGGGAATGGGAATGGGGGTGGTGGGGGAGGGGGTGCACAGGTGCCCGGGGACCCCGGGATTCCGGGGATACATAACCCGCCGAGGGAGCAGAGCTTTGGGATGATGATGGATGATGAGGAGAGGCCGAGGAGGGTGGAGGAGGTTGTTGTTGGTGGTGGTGGTGGTGGTGATGGTGGGTTGGGGGCCGCGGTGAGAATGGGTTAGTATTGGTTCGCACTACTCGCTCCCAGGGCCCTTTGGAGTGATGGATGGGTGGCAGATGTGGGTGGATGGATGGATGGGTGGCAGATATGGGATGGGATGGGATATTAAGAGAGGGTGATATCGGCGAAGGAGATGGGGGGTGAAGGTGAGGGTGAGGGTGAGGGAGATGGCCTGCCTCCGTCCCGTGGGGCCTGGTGCTTCGCGGGCGGAGCTTGTGTGTTTCTTGTTTGGGCTCGGTCATCATCATGAGGTGCGGCATGTCGAGGCTGTTTCTGCTCTTTTCTGTCGTTGCTGGCTTGAGTAGCTCCACGCTTATACCCTTTTGTTTTGTTGGAAGAAGGATGCCGAGGCACGATGGATGGTATGGTATCGAGCTCAATGTCAATGCTTGAGATCAATCACCGAAGCCAAACTCGTTTGTTATCTCGCCCGCTCACTTGCCCCCGTGCATATTGAGAGGATTGAGTGCCCAACCCCGGTGCCTACTCTCAGCCCTGTCAATACGAGTGACAGCCACACTTGCTGGACGTGTGAGTGGCATCGGGAGCGCACCGGTAAGCTCGTAATGTCTTCAAGTTGAGGACGGAGGTCCGTGATAGCAATACGGGAGCCTGGATAGGTAAGGTACCTACATACCAAGCCGGGAGGAGGAGATTTTTGGTGGCCTGTGTAACTGGTGGATAGGGCCGACCGTGCCACGGAGATGCCTTAGCGATAAAGTCCAATGCGCTCGTTTTTTCTGTTCTTTTCCCGCCGCGCCGGACATGCTTCCCGTTCGTAGCCTAATGCTACGCTCTACACGATCTTTTTCGGCATCCTTTTTATCCCGCGGACTCGATCTGGCACGTGTCTGCACTCGTTCCTGTCAACCACAGCCCAATAATGCAACGTCAATATACTGTTTAGCAGCATTTGGCATGGCGAGAACCCTGCATCGGCAACAACCCAAACCCCTGAATTTGTCGAAGTCGTGACTCGAACATCACAAACAAAATGTAGTTCTTGAGTGCCAAAATATTCCATACATAGGTACTCAATTTGGATTTTGCAAATAGGTATTACTTGTCCTGTACTTATAGTACCATGCCAACCAACGAAATTGTCGTCATCTCCAACATAGGTCGTCTCTTCAGCCGGTTTACCACGGAGGCGGATGGTGTGACTCGACGGACGGACCTCATTAAACACAAGAGCCATACCTGAGGCTCAGCAGGCCGTAGGGCTATCCCATGGGACTACACAGGACGCGATGCGACCGGTAAGGCAGCCTAGGTCAAAAGCTAGTGAAGTCGATGTGACGTTCCAGCGGCAATCTCGGCACCACGCCAGTGAGGACGGAGACTTGACCTTTGGACCCCACGGCCAAGACTATCCATCATCAACATCGACGGGCGAAGGAGTCACGACGTTGAGTGGATATGTGTTAGGAAGTTGCATAAAAGGCGAGCCGCCGGCCGCGGTCTTGACACCAGCCATGCCGAGTCTCACCACCAGCTTTCCACTCAGCAACTAGACAAGATGGGCGCCGAATGCTCGACTGTTACCGTCCAGCCGGGCGACCTGTGCGGCGCGCTGGCGTCGAGGTGCGGCATCTCGACGGCGGACCTGTACAAGTACAACCCGGGCTCGACCTTCTGCAACACGCTCCAGCCCGGGCAGCTCGTGTGCTGCTCCGAGGGCTCGCTCCCGGACCTCAAGCCTAAGCCGAACCCGGACGGCACCTGCGCCACCTATGAGGTGAAGCCGGGGGAGTACTGCTCCCTCATCGCGGCCAAGTTCCAGCTCTCGGTCGACGACATCGAGACGTTCAACAGCAACAGCTGGGGCTGGAATGGCTGTGCTAACGTGCCCAAGTACGCCGTCATCTGCGTCAGCTCCGGCGACCCGCCCATGCCGGCGGTTATTGATGATGCTGTATGCGGCCCGCAGGTCTCGGGCACGCCTCGGCCGAGTGACTGGTCTCAGATCGCGTCGCTGAACCCATGCCCCCTGAATGCCTGCGTGAGTTTTCTTCTGCCTTCCTAGCAGACTTGCCCCCTCAAAAGATGGGAGCTGACGATAAACCCTATCATAGTGCAACACCTGGGGCCGATGCGGCATTACCCCTGAGTTCTGCACGCCGCCCAAGACCAAAGGGCAGGCCGGGTGCATCTCCACCTGCGGCACCGAGATCGTCAAGAGCCCGAGCCCGCCAGCCGAGTTCATCAAAGTCGGCTACTTCCAGTCGTACAACAATGGAAGAGGCGGTGCCTGAACATGCGAGGCCGACCAGATCCCATCCGGCTGACTCGCACGTGCACTTTTCCTTCGCAGGGCATCACCCCCAACTTCACCGTCGACCTGTCCGGCGCCACCGACCAATTCCAACTCTTCGTCCAACAAACCGGCTTCAAGAAGATCCTCGCCTTCGGCGGCTGGTCGGACACCAACCACAACACCTCCCCCCCCATCTTCCACGAAAGCGTCACCAACACCAACCGGCTCGCCTTCGCGCGCAGCATCGTCGCCCTCGTCGAGCAGCACAACCTCGACGGCGTCGACTTCGACTGGGAATACCCGGGCGCCATCGACCTGGGCGGCTCCCCCGGCGACGGCGCGCGCTACCTGACCTTCCTGCGCATCATACGGCAGCTCCTCCCCCCCACCAAGACCATCTCCCTCGCGGCCCCGGCCTCCTTCTTCTACCTGCAGGGCTACCCGCTCGCCGCCATGGCCGACGTCGTCGACTACATCGTGTACATGGCGTACGACCTGCACGGGGCCTGGGACTACGGCAGCCGCGACAGCCAGAGCGGGTGTCCGGGGGGCGACTGTCTGCGCAGCCATGTTAATGGGACCGAGACGGAGTGGGCGCTGGCGCTGGCGACGAAGGCTGGCGTGCCGAGCGCCAAGCTGGTGGTGGGGCTGGCGAGCTACGGGCGGAGCTTTAAGATGGCGGACCGTGAGTGTCGCGCTGATCCGATGTGTCGGTATGTGGAGGGGGACCCGATGGTGGGGGTTTGTACGCGCGCGCCGGGGATGGTGGCGCAGGCGGAGCTGGAGGATCTGAAGAGGGTGGGGTTTCCCGGGGCGGTGTTTTGGTATGATGAGGCGAGTGACTCGGATATAGCGCAGTTCATGACGGATACGTGGGCGGCGTATATGAGTGAGGAGACGAAGGAGCGGCGGAGGACGAGGTATAAGGGGTTGAACTTTGGCGGGTCGGCGGACTGGGCGATTGATCTGGCTGCGTTTGTGCCGGGTGATTCTGGGATTCGTAGCAAGACTGCTAAGAGGGGGGCGGATTCGTTTGTGGCGCGTCGGGCGGGGGGAGTGTAGTTGGTTGGTTGGTAAGGGGTTGTGGAAGAAGCTGGTTGAAGACTGGAGTCAAGCGGAGAGGCATTTATTTCATTATTTCATGATTTCATAACTAGTTATTGCAAGGGGACTTTTGTTTCCGTCGTAAACACATTTCCTCTTGTGGAAAGTGCCAGCCGAACGAGCTGGTGCACGTGATGGCGCTGCGCTGCATTCTGCAATAAATAAAAGTACCCATGCCACTTTGCCTTCGGCCTTCGGGTTCAACTGAGATGAATTGAGAAGTAGGGGTTTAGGCTTGGGGACTAACCACCTAAAGATTGATAGGAAAAGGAGAAAAAAAACCACAACACCGAGGGTTCGCTGGTTTCCACCTAACTACAGGTAACTAGTTAACTAACTAACTAACTAGTTACGTAACTAACTACCTACCTAGGTAGTTAGTTACCTAATATTAGTGAGTGCAATTCGTAGGCAGGCAGGATGGATGCGCCAAGGACCATCGAGATTCAGCGCCTTTAAGCCACCAACCCTGCTGAAGTTGAGATAGCATAAACATCCGCTAGCGGGTGACCTCTTGTAGCTTCAGCGCCCTTCCATCCATGCCTGGCGCGTGTATGAAAGCGGTGAGCTATTTTTTTGGTATGTACCTGCTGGAGGATCTTCCTAACAATACACCATCTATGCATTCCCCAAGATATGCCTGTGACGAACCTACTCCAGGACCCCGTCCTGTTAGGGTTCAGCTTCGGTCGAAGGTAATCTTGCAAGGGTGCTTAGGTTCGGTGCAGCCAAAGGGTGCACATCAAAGACTTGTCTCAACAGTAGGCTTTCGAGCTTGTAGCGAACTGTAGTTGTGATTGCTAACTGGAGAACTCCCAGAGCTCTCCAGAACGAGTGACTATATACCTATCTAAGTCCTGTGTGCTCAGTGTGCTCAGTTGCGCCCTCCAACTGAGCTCACTGAGCTACTTCTCCCATCCCTGAGCTCCTTCTGAGGACTGCACCAGCCGCGGAAATCTACGTGGGAAAGATCTGCAACGAGAAGGTCACCGATGAATCTATGCTTGGAATCGCAGAGGTCGGCCAGCCTTCCACCCCTCCGCATTAACACCAGGCGCTAATGCATCGATTCGCAGGCGATGGATTGGGCCGTCAAAGAATGCGATACACACATCATCTCCATGTGTTTGGGCTTCCAAGAGGAACACGATCCGATTGAAGAGGCTGTAGACAAGGCCATTGATGCTGGCAAACTTATCATCGCCGCTGCCTCAAACAACGGTGGTCTCTCCGGACGTGCTAGGCCAGCCCGCCATGAGGGGGTAATTTGCATCCACGCCACGGATGGGAGGGGCAACAAAGGCGGCATGAACCCTTCTCCTCTGCCCAATAGGAACAACTTTGCCACGCTAGGCGTCGCAGTCCGATGTTTGTGGAAAGGCAAGGTGTGGAAGTCCGGCACCTCCTTCGCTGTGCCCATTGCAGCAGGTTTCGCTGCAGATATCATGGAGTTTGCGAGGTGCAGATGCACCAATCTCAAGTCTAGGAAGCTCAAGAAGCTGCAACGAAAAGATGGCATGCGGGCCATTTTCGAGCGCATGGAAAAGTTGAGGGATGGCTATGACTTCATTGCCCCTCGGAGCTGTGGAACGGGCGGTGGAGTCCACAAGCGGAGCAGGATATTGTGGATCTTATTGAGCGCACAATGGAGCCCCTCTAGCAGAGTGCAAAGCCGGACCTTATTGAAGGATTTATCCACATACATCCTCAACGGCTCCCGGCTTCTTCTCCCTTGTTCACTTTCGCACAGCTCAGTCCGTTCACTTGCCCGTTCAGATGGAAGGCTCGACAGCAAAACCAACAGTCGAGCCTGCCCGCAATTTTGAGGAAACATGACATGGCCTTGTCAGGAGCATCAAACACATCGACCTCATCCGACCATGGGATGCCATTCTGCGCTCCGACACTCCTGATGGTCATTACCGCAGCTTTGTTTGCGCGAATGACAGCGCTTTTGATGTCCCAAGTCCCTTTGGCCTTTTGGCGTAGGTAGTCTGAGGAATAAGCCCCAGTGAAGGTGTCCCTGTTCAGATCCAGTCAGCACCCGTACGGATTGAACTTGACATGAAGAATCGGAAACACTGAGGTTGTTGCTATAAGGGGTCCAGTTTAAGCCTTACCCTGCTCCGGTGGTATCCCTAACGACAACCTCATACGCAGGGCAGTGAGCACTACCGTCCTCGTTTGCGTAGAATGCACCCCTGGCCCCTAGCGTGATGACCACATTCTTCACGCCGCGGTGCAGAAACTCCTGCGCGATGGTCGGCCAGCTGTCTTCGTTGACCTCGTCCCTCTCTCGGCCCGACACGATGGCTGCTTTCGACTCGTTGACAAGCAGGTGTGTGATGTGCCTGTAGAAGCGCTCTCCGATGGGGTAGCCGGCGCCGCGTTCAAGCAAAAGTCGATGCCTGCCCTGCCAGCAGTTTCGATCATGACCTCGACCACGTCCTTGGTAATCTCCATCTGAGCCCCACCGCCGAGCTGCTCGGCGTTGCGGAAGTGCTCCTTCTTCCATGTGGCTGTTGCCCCCAGCGAGAACAGGCACCTGTTCTCGCGTGTCAGGTGCTCAACCATGACGAAGCAGACGCTGGAGCGCGTGTCGGGCACCGTCACGATGCCCGAGGTGTCGATCCCGTTCTTGTTGAGCTCAACGATGAACTTGCCCCCGTACTGGTCGTCACCGACTGCGCCAATCATCTTGACCTCAATGCCGTCATAGGCCAAGGACAGGCCTTCAACCGCTGCTTCGTCGTCTTGTACCGGCCGCTTGTGGCATGTTCTGTAAGCCGCGATCGCAAAATTGGCCCCCTTGCCTCCCAGGGCTTCGATGTACTCGTTCGCCAGAACACTTTCTCCGGGGCCGGGAATGCGACTCGAAATCATGATCAGGTCGGCATCTAGGCCTCCGATGACAGCGATGGTTTGCGGTGCCATTCCGAATTGTACCTAGGTTTCCGGCTGTTGCAATAGTGTCAGGGGTACAGTGTACTCCGTATAATGGTCGATTTGACAGAAGAAATCTCTCGTAGGAAGGAAGATTTGTGGAACATGGCTGGGGCTATGGCAAGCATGAGGAAAATACCAGACTGAGGCTTGATATGGAGTTAGCTGGAGACTGGAATGTTAAGTGCTGATTTTAGACGTCGTTGGGTGCCCAACAAAGCCAGGCGTATACGCGCAACCAACGTCCTCACAGAGGCAATCCAATACACTCATGATACCCCGGCGAGACGCTTTCGTACATCTAAACCATCAGCAAAAAAAACAAACATGATGAGTGTTTGTCTAGGTACGCAGGTACCTGCCAAGCAGCAGCAAGTCCGTCAATAGGGGGCCTCGGTCCCAGATTCCTCCCACCTCTTCAACAACGCTCGTTTTTCCGGATTGACCCGGACAGTTGTCGTGTATAGATACCCAGTTATGGATTGAGCCATGCCATTGTCAGCGTCTCAAATATCGCACGCCCAGCATCAGGATGCTTCGGTCGCAGCCGCAGAAAAGGCTGCCCCTGCCTCTATCGCAGCACTACCAGACTCACCAGCATATTCGGCTTTTTCTAAGAACCAGATCACACTCATTCATTGTCTTGCCTCCTTCGCCGCGAGCTTCTCACCTCTTTCGTCCTTCATCTTCTTCCCGGCCATCGACGACCTGGCCCAGGCACTCGACGTTTCCGCTGGAAGGGTCAACCTGACCATCACCTCGTACATGACCGTGGCCGGCCTCGCACCGGCTATCCTCGGAGACCTGGCGGACAACATCGGACGTCGAATGATTTACCTCTTTATGATGATCATTTACTGCATTGCCAACACCGGCCTTGCGCTCCAGACAAACTGGACGGCGCTTTTCCTGTTGAGAATGCTGCAGAGCACCGGGAGTGCCGGTACGTGGCTCGCCCCCTCTCTCTGTGGTACATGCCCAGAAGCTTCCAGTTTAGGTGACCCTCTTAAACGAATAGGTCAAGTGCTAACAGAGGCCAGCCACCATTGCGCTAGGGTACGGAGTTGTATCGGACGTTGCTCCGCCATCAGAGCGCGGCGCATTCGTGTCTGGCCTCGTCATTGCGTAAAACCATAGCCATCCTTTGCAGTCGGTGATGCAAGAGACCAGACCCAAGGCTAACCTTACTTGTTGGAACAGTCCCAACATCGCGACGGCCATCAGCCCCATCTTAGGCGGCGCCCTCACCAGCTACGCGGGGTGGCGCTGGATTTTGGGTTCCTCGCCATCTGGTCGAGCATCTGCTTGCTCCTGGTATCTTCGTTCCTCCCGGAAACAGCGCGATCCGTCGTTGGCAACGGATCCCAAAACATCTCGAGCCTTCGGCGGCCACTAGTAGTAATAACCAGCTTTAGGAGCCCGGAACAAGTGCCATATTCCCCAAGGAAAGACGACGGCTCAGGCATCGAGCCGGTTCTACTGCCTACCAAAGCCGGCAGGGAAAGTCGCCGCTTCAAGCTCCCCAACCCTCTGGCGAGCTTGAAGCTGCTATGGGCCAAGGACAGCGCTCTGATCACGCTGATTTTCGGCGTCTTTTATATATGAACGTCAGCTCTCTCCAGGCGTCTACATCGACGCTCTTTGTCAAGATTCACAGCATCTCCGGGATTGGGCTGGGCTTAGTGTACCTGCCCTCGGGCATTGGGTCTTGTGTCGGGGCGTACTATGCAGGTATGTACGACTACTTGGTGACTTCTGTGTCCGCCAGGCCCCGATTCTCCCCTGTTGTTTATTTACAGACATGCACACAACCTACCTGTTACTAATGTCGTTGGCTCCGAGTCGAAAGGCAGCTTGATGGACCACGACTATCGCGTGGTTGCGCGGAAAAACAACTTTGAGATCAACAAACGAGCAGGTGATGACTTGGCCGATTTCCCATCGAGAAGGCGAGGTTTCGAAGCATCCGGTACGCCCTTAGCGCGGCGGGCCTCTCCATGGTAGGATATGGGTGGTCTATGCATTTCAGAGTGGTCAGTGACTCCCCGTGCCAGTCTTCATATTGGAATAGGTGGGTTTCGAGGTAACTAACCACGTCACATACAGCACATGGCCGTTCCCCTGGTGCTCCATTTCGTTATCGGTCTGTCTACAACTTTCGTGTTCAACGTATGCAGAAACCCACATCACATCATTCCATGCAGCCCTCCCCCTGGACCCGACTGACAGCCCAGTCGGAAACAGATGAGTGGCACTCTTCTAGTAGATATCCACCCCAAATCGCCTTCGACAGCCCAGACCGCGAACAGCCTCGTCCGTGCCTTTCTTGCCGGCGCTGGCACCGCTTGTGTCCAGCCTTGTATTGATGTCATGAGGGTCGGCTGGACATTTACGCTCTTTGGTAGTCTGGGTGTGGCTTGTATGGGCTTCGCATGGCTGGAGTTCGCCTTGGGCCAGAGTTGGAGGGACAAGATGAGAACGAGAGGTGTTCACCGTTGAGAGGAAATCAATGCCGGGAAGCAGAAAAAGAAAAGAAAAGAAAAAATAAACATACAACACCAGGGATTCGCTGGTCGTCACCGACCCAACTACTAGTCCGGCGGTCGGTAGTTTAACTAGGGGAGAGCGGACGGGATCCCGTGTTCTCTAGCGCCTATGGTCGTATGTGACAGTGGTGCCCGCCAGTGTCATTTATTAAGGTGGGCTCTCATACTCCACAAAGAATACGACAAAGAATATACTCCACACACACACAAAGAATACGACAAAGAATAAATAAAATAAATAAATACGACATACGACAAAGAATAAAGAATACGACATACGACAAAAAAAACAAAAAGACAAAGATCTTGTGATCAACTAACTACAGGGTTAGGGTTAAACCCCCAATGGGTCTAAGGCGGACGCTGATATCTTAAACGGGCTAAGTCTAACGAAGTGTGAGAGATGAGCAATAGGGATCGCGAGGCACAAAGGCACTGCAAGTACCACTCTATTCCGTTAATCGAAAGCTAAGGAAAAGAGAGAGAAAAGTTAAAATACAGGGATGGGTCGCGGAATGAGTGTGGTGTGCGCACAGACCACTGCAGAATATGACCGGGAATACGCATCCAACCCTAACCCAGGACACCGGGCGCATTCTCCGTCACACGAAGGAATGCGCGCCGAGCTCGCATAAGCCCGTTGGTTCGTGCCAGGATCGACTAACACCTCCCATAACTCCTTCTCCCTTTCCACAAGAATAAGTATTCTTCCCTAGACTTAGATCTAACCTTGTAACAGTTTATTCCATTTTTTAAACTAATAAATAAGAGCGGGTAAGTTACTTTACTAACTCTGTACAACTACACTGCAAAAGTATAATCTTCATGCAACCGAGCAGTTGCATCGTAAGCCATCGGTAACAAAGCAAGAAGGAAACCTCTTCCTTCATCTTGCATTTGCACTTACTCTCAAAAGTTTGGCCCCCACCCATTACATTGTCTACATTATCATCAGGCACGTCAGTAAATGGCATCCGTTACCCGTCTTCGAGTTCCGCTCCCGCAGCTGCCAGAGGCACGCGCAGGACGGAGAATGGAATTCCCGGCCACCACCAAAACCGCTCCCAAAGCCGGCAAGGCCAGACGCCCAGCTCTTCTCTCGTTCGATGAGATGCCAGAATGGTTCCAGCGTGAATCCAACCGGTGGATTCTCCATGGCTATCGGCCCATCTCAGGCTCGGCTCACGCTTCGTTCCGCAGTTGGTTGTATATCCACAACGAGTCGTTCAACATCTATTCCCACCTCATCCCGGCCGTCATCTTCCTGCTCGGCGAGTGGTATATCCTACAGTACCTTGCCGGCAGATACTCTGGGGTCACTAGCGCCGACTTTATCGCTTTCTCCATCTTCATGTTGACGGCCGCCACGTGCCTGTCATTGTCGGCGACGTATCATACCTTGATGAACCACTCCCAAAAGATGGAACACTTCTGCCTACGGTTGGACATGCTGGGTGTAGTGGTCTTTATACTAGGCGACCTTGTCTTGGGAATATACCTGGTTTTCTGGTGTGCACCTTTGCCACGCTATATCTACTGGTCCACGGTTAGTTAATCCCCACATCCCACATCTTTGTTTTCCTTATCTCAGATCTGGTGCTTGGTCTAACAGTCTTCTTTTCCCGGTTGATAGATTGGAGTTTTCGGGACGTTGACCATGTTCATGACAATGCATCCCAAGTTCCAGGGCGCAAAGTATCGCCTCTTCCGGGCATTGATGTTCGTGGCGACCGGCTTGTCTGGTGTTGCGCCCTTGATCCATGGACTTATTGTGTTCGGCATGTCGGAGATGATGAGAAAAGCTTTTCCCTATACTCTGGCAAAAGCAGGCTGCCTTCTTTCTGGAACTTTGTTCTATGCAGTAAGTCTTATTTCGCACTTACACGAGAGAACTTAAGCCTAACACATGTGGTTCTGAAGACCAGGTTTCCCGAAAGTCGATATCCTAGCAAATTCGACCTATGGGGTTCCCATTCGATCTTTCACGTCTTGGTGGTATGCGCCGCTGTGGTCCAGTTGATAGGGTACCTGGATGCCTTCGACTATGCTCACGCAAATCCCACTTGCTCAACTCTTTGAGTTATATAACCACCCTGAGAAAGATAGGTACCTAACTTTTGCTGCGACTGCAACGAGGTGGACAGGGTTTTCCAAATATTATTATTATTGTTCATACTCCGCTATGCCCTAGGGCGTGCCGGACCCTCAGCTATTTAGTGTACAGGAAAACCGTGCCCTCCCGGGCCGGGTGAAAAACCCATACCAACAATCAAGGAACGATGCGTTCTGGTGAGTCTGCGTATACAAAGAGAGGAGGCCTCCTGGCTTCCGAACGGGGGCGCTTCAGGCCGCCGCTTCCAGCTCGAGCCTCCTGGCTAAGTTGTACATCGGCAGCTTCCCCGAGTCCATCAGCCAGTCGAGAACTCTCCTCGCGAGCCGTGCAGTCGTGGGATTTATGCCATATAGAACAGAGTAAAAGTCCCGTCGTGTCCGAATTCCAATTCTCTCCCATCTTCGAGTCAACGGTGGGGCCAAACACCACACTACCAGGTGTTCGGCAGTCTCTCGTCCCTCGCCACACTCGCAGGCAGGAGTCAGAACCTCCGGGACTCCCCGTGTAAACAAGAAGTCCCGTAAGCCTATTGCTCCCGTCCGGATCTGAATCAGCAGTGAGCTCTTCGCCTTGCTGAGACCGTCGTGCCTCCTTAGGGTTTCGTTCCGGAATAGCGTCTCCTGCTGATGGTCAAAGTCGTCCGCCGGCCTGGTGATTGCCCTGCCGTCCCGTTCCTTTAACCACCTCGCTTTCCAAGCCTATTCTACTACCCTGTTCGTATCAACGGTTCCCCCCGTCCAGCGCATGACCGTGTCCGCGGCTCTCTCCACCACCGTAGGCCCTTGAGGTCCCAAGGTTCGCGGTCGGCCCCTGTTGCCCCTCCTCGAGCTAAGTCTCTGCTGTATCTTGCGGCAGGCGGTGAGGACAACGCTCGCCGCCGTCTTCTTGCCGCCTCGACCGTCGTCCAGATCGGGTCGTTGGAGTCGGTTTTCGAAATCTGCAAGCCGTTTGTTTAGGTACAAGTCCAATGGTGGTACCCATGTCTCTGTCTCGAGGTTACGGATGGGGGTAGACTTAAAGGCTCCCGCCACAATCCGCAAGCTCTTGTTCTGGGCCTTCCCGAGGGCCTTAGTGATGCCTTTCTTTACCGGCTCGCCTCCCACATCCGTGGGGATGTGAAACGATGATGCGCCATAGGCCAGCGCCGACCGGATGCACTTTGTGTACACTTCTCGCGCTTTGGCTAGCCCCATTCCCCATGTCTTTGCCACGATCCTCGATAGGGCATAGCTCTGGGTCCTCAGCTTCTTCTCCACCGCCACCAGGTGGGCCTTCCAGTTGAGTTTCCAGTCCAACCAGACTCCCAGGAACCTGGCAGACCCTTCTGGTTTAACGGGACTGGTGCCTCCCCCAGGGTTTGCCAAATAGATTGTGTCATTGATGTATAATGGGGACTTGGGAAGCAATGTTAACCAAATGCTATGGGACATCACTTTGACCTGAAACCAGCCTCTACATTTGTCTCCGCCATGATCAATAACGCTACAATTTTGTTAGCTAAGCGTTGAAATATGAGCAGTGCCAACAGCCTACCTAGGTCTTGTCTTGGAGTTTTGCTTTGATCTCTTACCACCGCGTTCTGGGTCTTGACCCATTGACCCTCCTGTGCTCAGACCTCCTGGTCTACTTTCCAACAACTGACATGGCGGACCAACCGCGGTCCAGGGTCATCAAAAATAATCCTATCGGGGACGGCCTTGATGCCTTCCGCGCTTCCTTCAACCCGGCCTGCGGAGAAGTTGGACGAGACATAGGAACCTTAACAAGCATGTGGCGGACACAGGCGCTTGACAAGTGTGAGTGCCTTTATAGCAAAGACGGCTCCCAGGCCCTTCGCTTAAACAGAGATAATAAAATGTATGAAACATTACAGCGATTGTAGAAAATCCATTACTCTGTAAAAGCAAACCGAAAGAACGTCACTCGGCCAGAGCTGTGCCCTAGGATGAGTGCATGGCCATGAACCGCCACACATGTTGCCCGATAGTCAGCGGGAAGCCAAAGAACACGCTTCCCATTTATTATAACCCAATCGTCGTCGACGAAGAGAAAACCACTGGCGGGTTTCTGGCCTCCAGAGCTGCTTGAAGCTTCTGAATTTCCGGTTATACTCAGCAGCCCTCGGTCTGTCTCGAGACATTTGCCGTCCGGCGAGAACGCCACTGCGCTGACTGAGTTGCCATGCCCCTCGAGCGTCTGCCGGTGCGCGCCGGTCGCCGTATCCCAGAGCCGGATCTTCTTATCGTGCGAAGCCGACGCAAGCGTGTTACCGTCCGGCGAGATCGCTACTGTACTGACCCAGGCGCTATGCCCCTCGAGTGTCTGCCGGTGTGTGCCGGTCGCCGTATCCCAGAGCCGGATCGTGTTATCGTACGAAGCCGATGCGAGTGTCTTGCCATCCGGCGAGAACTCCACTACGGTGACCGAGGCGCTATGCCCCTCGAGCGTCTGCCGGTACGCGCTGGTCGCCGTATCCCACAGCCGGATCGTCCTATCGTCTGAAGCCGATGCGAGCGTCTTGCTGTCCGGCGAGAACGCTACTACCTTGACCGAGCGGCTATGCCACTTGAGCGTCTGCCGGTGCGCGCCGGTCGCCGTATCCCAGAGCCGGATCGTGTCATCATATGAAGCCGATACAAGTGTCTTGCCATCCGGCGAGAATGCTACTGCCCTAACCCAGCTACCATGCCCCTCGAGCGTCTGCCGGTGTGTGCCGGTTGCTGTATCCCAGAGCCGGATCGTCTGATCGTCCGAAGCCGATGCGAGTATCTTATCATCTGGCGAGAACGCTACTGCCCTGACCGAGTGCGCCATGCCCCTCGAGCGTCTGCCGGTGCGCGCCCCAGTGGTCTCTAATGCCAGCGGTCATTTCGATAAAAGATAACCTTTCCTTCCAATACCGATTTCTAATTTCGCTCAAAGTTGGGCTGAATACGAGCGCGGAGCTGTATATCTGTAAGGGGGCCCGTTCTATGATCGATCTGTGACTAAATATAAACTTCTCTGCATCTTTCAACAGCTCAAGAAGGTAAGGGTTGATCTCCGGTTGTGACTGACTGGATTAGTAACCTGACAATAATACGGCATTGACAACATACCTGAGCGGCATGCAGAATCTTTCTTATCGAGAGCAGCCCACTGGAAAGTTGCCCTATAAGAGACAAGCTCTCAAGCCAGCGGAGGAAGCATTCCTCCAGGAATCCAAACACCTTCCCGTCATCTGTCAATTCTCCTAGAAACCCGGAGTTGTCGCTGTTCATGGAGCAGAGATGGTCGGCCCAGAATATACAAGAGTATCGTATTGGAGCTAGCGGATCTGGATCAGGGGGCGCCATATTCTCCGGCTCAGAGCCGGGGTCGAGGTCGTATATGTTGCGTCTTAGCATTGAGGACATCGCATCAGTCGAGCGCCTGACAATCTCGCTGTGCCCTTGAGCGGGCCCAGCTGGTTGAAGTCTAGTCGCGTAATTGTCGCCCAGATAGTCCTTCGCGGACTGATGGATTAGGTAGACCGTTTCGTCCTTGATTGTTAGAAATGAGCCGCATCGGTCCACAATTGTCCGGGGATTACTCTTCGCTGGCAAACCTGCAACTACAATAAGCTCGGAGAGTGACAGAGGCCGATGTACAAGGAATGTAGCCGCGAGTACATTTTTGCAGCGTTGCCGGTTTTGCTTGTTCCCTTCATCAATCCTGGCCATCATATGACCGTACAAATCTGTCAAGCCCGGAGGGATGCTCTGGACGGTCTCGACAGCGTCCCAGCCCTCCACTGAACTGAGTTCTTTGAACACGAGAGCCACCCAGAGGAACGTGTTCTCCGCTCGTTGCCGGACTTCATGAGAGACCTCAGCCAAAATGCGGTCGTCATACCCTTCCCTGTACTTGAGCTCCATAAGCTTGTGGTTGATGTATGCATTGACAGGTTCTTCTAGACGCTGAGTATCTAGCTCGACGAGGGAGTTGGAAGGGTTGAAGGAGTTAACGCTCTGTTCCTTGAGTCCAGCGAGAAGGTCAACTTCTGGACGGCTAGAGAGTAGCCATCTCACCTTCTGGGAGACGCTGAGGGAAGTCGAAATGAGATGGATGACGTCCGATCGCCCCTGCACGCACTCATCAAGAGCGTCGACCGCGAGGTAGACAGGCGACAGCCGAGGATCCTTCAACATATTCCGAAACACCTCGGACAGGGCAATGAAGGCATTTTGATCCCTGAAGAGATCCGCGCCTGACTCTTTGTATTTCTGAAGTAGATGGGATATGAGGCATGGCTGCTGAAGAAGAAGAAGCCAGATCAAAGACCTGAGGACGGCGGTGGCGTTGTTCAAGGCTGTGTGTGTGCCTTGGCAGAAGAAGAAGGAAAGTGCTGGTGATAGGGCAACAGGTTGATCCGAGAGCTGGCGAATGAGCCCGATCATGAGCATCGTCTTTCCCGTGCCGGCGTGTCCTTTTATCCAGAGCAATCGACGTGGCGGACGATCGGATCCGCTGTCGTCCCAGCTTGTGAACGCTGTATACTCCGGGGTGCGAAGGATCCATTTGTACGCGTCATCGAGCAGCTCATCCTTACTCTTCTCGATCCGCTCCATGTCGTGTTGCGGATCAACGACGCGGAGATCTCTGCGGCACGCTGACTCGATATCATCCCTACGGGCGTCCTTCTGCAGCGAGATGAAGTCCCGAATGTCCTGACGGATGTCGCCGAGTCGTCTCTCCATTCCCTCGGCATGCTCAACAAGTTTTCCTAATGAAATTTTCGTTTGTTCTTGAAAGAATTGGGCAGCATCGTTTTGAACGGTAGCCTCTGCGTCGGTAACAAGCTTCAGATCGACGTCCCAATCATCCAGATTGACCATACCGCGGAGGAATTCAAGCATTTGATTGTGATAGTAGGAACAAACACTCTTCATCTGGTATTGGAGAAGAGCTTTGTAGAGCTCGACAATGCTCCTTTCCAGCTGGCGCAAGACTGCTTGGATATCCTTGCCAGTAGCAACGTTTTTCTTGTTCAGGAGATGTTCGGTGAGCGCGCAGTACCAGTCCATTCTGGAGATGACATGGGCGAGACCGGCAAGGTTGGATTTCATCGCTTGCGCAGGATTCCGGAGCATCTGGAGGCATATTAGCAGAGCCAAGCACAAAGGGGTGTTCGAAGGACGACTGCTTACTTGCAGTCCAACGCAAACACCGGCCCACGGAAGCGCAGCCTGCGGCACGCTTTGGACAGCCAGGTCAATTATTCCCTTGACCGACAGGACGAAATCGGCGACGTCGCCTACTCCGTTCGTGATCTTGGACGCTCTGGAGATTTTCGCCCGGCCTTCCTCCACCAGCCTCCTCATGTGCATCTGTCGTTTGGTCGGGTCATGGAACTCGGCCGAGATGTCGGTGTCAGGGGTAATACCTGGGTTGGCTCCGAGAACTGTTTCCAACGTTTTCAGGTATGACGCGACAAGCTCTGCATTGTCCGTCTCAAGACTGTCGTAGGCGGCGTTCCACAGTCTCTCGGACACGGAAAGGGTAGGGGTCGGTGGGTCTGTACATTCAGTCGGCGGAGGTTTGGGTGCGGGTTCGGCGGGCAGAGCAGGAGGCAGTGCTTGCGATGCCGCGGGTGGTTGGTGATCGTTGGGAACTCTCGCATCTGTGCGGGGTTGGGCAGCCTTCGCCGCTGCGGCAGACGGGGAGGAGGGGGCACATGACTCTGTCGCGACAATGGAAGACGCTTTCGATCCGTGTTCTGCATTTCCCTGATCGGATGACTAGATGTCTACCGGAGAATATCAGTTACGAGAAGCCTTGCGATGCGAGGCAGAGTCTCAACATACCCGTCGACAGTGTGGCAGACGGAGCCGGCGAGGCTACACGACGCCGCCCGAAGGGCTTCTTCAACCACTTCTTCCACGACTTCGGCTTGTATTCAGCAGACATGGTTCCGATGGGGATTCTTGTCGAGAAAGAAGAGATCCTATGCAACGGTAAAACAATGTGAAGTCAACAGCTGCATCTCGGGCGGTTATTGCGGGGCGGAGCTGAAAGATGAGGTGAGGCTGGCCGGTATGGCGGTCGGCCGTCCAAAAGAAAGCTGTGGCGGTGCTATTGACGAATGGCAGTAGAGTAACTCCGTACTTCCTCTTCAATGCGAGACGAACGGCCAAAGTCGTTCAAGGGTACTCATGAGCCAAGCGTACCACGGACATATCGAGAGCATCAGCGACACGGTCTTCTGATCCTGATTCTACGCACCAAGGCCGCGAGTAGAGCGACCACCCAAGGAGCAAGCATGCTCTTTCCATCTTGCTCTCTGCTTTGGAGGGTGCGGGCCCGACGCGGCGCGCCCCGTCCCGCGCCTTTTCCTGTCGCAGTTCCAACAAAGATCAGATGTGGTCGTCGTTTCGAGAGACCGCAGATCGGATCGATGCGCCGCGCCCCACAGTGGGACTCTCTGCTTGTGCCGCCGGGCCGCCGCAAGGGCCGGAAAGACTCGCTACGGAGTAAGTACGCGGAACGCCAAAAAGTCGGAATGAGAGGCTTTTAATCCCCAAAAAAGAACAAACCAACATCAGGGATTCGTTGGCCACCGACCCAGCTGCTGATCTGGCTCTCACGAGGTTAACTAGGGGAGAGCGGACGGGATCCCGTGCTTTCTCGTGGATATGGTCGTATGTGACAGCTGAATGAGAGAGAGTCGTTTATGAAAGTGGGCTCTGGTACCCTGGAGGACGTAGCAAAAATACATACAACACCAAGGATTCCCCAGTCGTCACCGACCTGAGTACTAGTTTGGCCCTTGCCAGTTTAACTAGGGGAGAGCAGACGGGATCCCGTGTTTTCTGGCAGGTATGGTCGTATGTGATAGTTGGGTCTCCAAAGCGAGTTTATGAGCTGAGGAAGGAATTGGCCTTCCCGAGAGCTGTTCTAGGAGAGAGCCAACAGGAGTGACCGTGCCCGCTGCGCGCGGGCACGCCAAAGGAAGCCTGGAGGAACTTGCCGGCTGCAGGTAGGCCCCGTAGCGGAGTCAACGATGTAATTGTCTTTTTTTTTTTTTTTCATTTCATGATGGTTATTGACGAATGCTGGGAAAGTAAGGAAAGGTGGTTTCTCCAGTCAGACCAGCGTCTAATCGTACAGTCGCGCCCTCTTTGTTCCCGCTGTAGACCTCTTGCTTCTGATTGGATCGGGAGAGGGTTATCGCCCGTTTGGCGGGATCCCAATGGTCCTGTTCTTCGGGGACTTCTTCCAGTTCGACCCCGTCCTGCAGACCAGCCTCCTCTTGCCGGCGCCCAGGGACCGTGGCGGACAGAGACCGGAAAGCTTGGCGAAGCATCTCGCAGCGCACAGGCTGTTCCTCCAGTTCACAACCGTTGTCATCCTCCAGGAGCAGGTCCGCGCGGCTGGTTGCCCAAGGCTTCGGGGCTTCCTCGGGCGCCTGCGCAACGGCGAGCAGACCGAGCTGGACTTCCAGCGGCTCAGTCAACGCCTTTATACACCGTCGTGCAAGGCGTCCTTCGTAGACGGTCTGAGAGCCATCACGCCCCTGAACCAAGACCGGTGGGACCTGAACATGGCAGCCGTCGTCCAGTGGGCCCGTGCCCACGGCAAACACATCTCCATCTTTGTAGCCAAGCATGACACCGAATCGGGGAAGCGGCTGCGCGTCGAAGAGCTGGGCGACGTGCTCCGCCGCGGAGACGACTCGCAGCTGCCAACCCCGGGCCTCTTCTTTTACGCCCAAGGCATGCCGGTCGTGGTGACTCGCAACCAGTTTGTCGGGCTGAAGGTCGTCAACGGGTCAACGGGGCACCTTTCATGGCCGTCGACATTTCCCCCGACCTCGCGTTTGGCACCATCGCCCTCACTAGTGACGTGACTCTCCATCTCGGACCGCCGGTGGCCGTCCTTCTTCAGTCGGACGATAGCGCGGGCCTCGCCATCCCCGGGCTCCCCAATGGCACCATCCTGATCAAAAGCAAGACGGTCGCCATCCCGAGCCAAATGCGGGGCAAGGAAACCAGATGGAGGGGCAAGCCGGGTTTTCGGCGGGTTACCCATAGAACAGGACCTCTTTGTACGCCGGCCTTCGCCATGACAGATCAGAAGAGCCAGGGAAAACAATTCTCGGACGTCCTCGTCAACCTCAAAGGCGTCCACTTTGGCGGCACAGCGACTCGACCCAGCTTCATGAGCCTGTACGTGCAACTGTCGAGGGCGCAGAGCTGGGACGGGCTGCATCTGTTTCGGAAACCGGCGCGCAGTGACTTTATCGAACCCAAGAACGTGCTTGATAAAGACATGAAGGAGGCCATCCTCAAGCTGGAACGACAGGGCGAGAAAACCAGACGGCGGTTCGAGCAGGACCACAGGCACGAACCGTGGTTCCAAGAATGGGACGCCATGGCCGAATCAGCGCAGGCCACTGAACCTGCTGACGAAGAAGCGGGTGCGTCGCTGTAGTAGTATAGTCAACCCATAATAGATGTTGACCCTGCAAACCACATCTTTCGCCACTTTTTGACAGAAATTTGATTTCTTGGTTCGTGATTGTCGAGGATTGCGCGACGGAGGCACGCAAAGGCACGAGCGAAGCAGCGAGTCACAGGGGCCCTGATGCCGTAAGCGGCTTTTTTCTGGCGATTTTATTGGCCAGAACAAAGCAACAACGGTCCGTGCACCTCCACCGCCAAGACCAACTGCGAGATGCCAATTCGAGGAAGCAAAATGCAGATGACGCCAGACTTCGAGATGCTATCGAGAGAAGTCGAAAAGGAGAAAAAAGCCAAAATTCTACAGTGAGAAGTCGACAGTACAGGTTAGAAATGACACCGTTTTGCAGGGGTGTTTTTGGGATCCTTTTTATGGAGAAAAAACTGGTCCGTGCTTATAGCAGGCCATGGCATTTTCGACCTAAGGAAAGGAAAGGAAAGGAATTTCGACCTAAGGAAAGGAAAACCTGGAGTTTTCCTCCAGGCACAGGAGTGACCGTGCCCGCTGCGCGCGGGCACGCCAAAGGAGCCTGGAGGAACTTGCCGGCTGCAGGTAGGCCCCATAGCGGAGTCAACGATGTAATTGTTAAAGGCGGAAGAAGAAGCCATCTTGACTGCAATGGAATTATAAACAGTATCAGGAGATTGAAAGATGTCGTATCCTATGGCATATCCGGCCTCGTCGTTCTCGACAAGGCTTCACAAACCGACATCAAGACGCCTCTCTTCGATGACTGCGAGAAGTCCCTGTCCCTGGAGCGTGATATATACGAGCGACTCACACAACGGGGCGGTCATGAACGCGTTCTTTGTTATCACGGTGCCGCTGAGTCGGGCATCCGGCTGGAGTATGCGCCGAATGGTGACATCCGTGCATTGTACGCCCACGGGAAGGCGCCCAGCTTGAAACTTAGTTCGAAGCAGCACCGAGAATGGGCCCTCCAGATTGCGGAGGCTCTCGCCTTCATCCATTCCGCCGGGGTGGTCCATGGTGATCTGACATGCCACAACATATTCCTGGACGAGAACTACAACGCCAAGGTTGCCGACTTCGCCGGCTCTTCGCTGGATGGTTCCGATCTGCTCGTCTGTGTTGCCGCCAGTCACGAATATCCCGGTTCAACGCTATCTGTCCAGGGGGACATATTCGCATTTGGTTCGGTTATCTACGAGATTACGACCGGAACCGCCCCTTACAAAGACCTGTCCGACGACGAGATTGAGGCTCGCTACCAGAGAGGCGAATTTGCAGACACAGCTTTGCTAGGTGAAATGGGGGTCGTTATTCGAAGGTGCTGGTTGGGACAATATAATGGTTTCGAGTCGATAGTCTATGACTTAAAAGGTATACACCTGACCACCCTCAGCACCCGTAGTCGGTCCACGCTTACTGGGAATCTCTAACATGAAACAGCACAAGGAAACAAACGGCTTGTGCCTTCTGCACCCAGCTTCAAGACAGCGGTCCTCATTCTTGGCGTCACCGCCACGACCACTGTACTCCTCCGCGCTAGGTGATCTATCAGCACGCGATCGTGTGTTATAGCCTTATGGGGGGTCTCACGGGCCTAAGAGAGGCATCTCGGACACTTGCCCGGCTTCCTATATGTCCCCGCAAGGATGATCTCGCCGTTCGTCCCTTTGGCGGGCTCAGGGTCATCGCACATGTAACCAGTGTTCTTCGCCTCCTCGCACTTGTCGTAATTGCGCCGCTGGATGTCATGTTTGGGGCTTGCTTCGCATCCCTTGAACGTCATCTTGGACTCGTAGTAATTACACATGTTGCTAGAATAGGCCTCTTTAATGTAGTCTCAAGGTGGCCCACGGCCGTTGGTAGTCTCGGGGAAAGGGTATGGATAGAAAGTAATGATAATTCAGAATGTATGTAGATAGTGGAAGAAGAGGGGTGTTCCGATTAGTTGGGGCAACTCCAAATGCAGCATACCTCCTTTCCTTTGGCTTTCACAGCTGCAGGCATCTCTTCCCAAGTTTGGAAAATTCCTGCCTTGACATTGACTATGTCACGAACCACGTTCTGTAGCTCCAAACTCGATCCAATATATTACACTCAGACAGAATAGTGAACAGGGAAACCGAGTATTTCTTTTGGCGAGGCATCTTGTGCCCCAAAACCTAGCGTCTATTAGTCTAGGAAGATCTAAGTAGTTACAAATCCCATACATAGGGGCATCATCCGTGCCCGAGCAAGTAAAACCAGCCAACTAAACCCATCGCTTTGCCACCTCTCCCACCAAGCCCTTCATCGCCACTTCCTCCCAAACTCCCACCGACTCATACACTCTCCGGTTTCTAACCAGCCACTGCCGCCGCCGCCGTGGAAGCGGGGCGTTGCTGTCGTTGTTTCTGTTGCTGTTGTTGCTGCTGCTGCGCCGAGTGACTGGACGGCTTACCCGGAGCGTGTCTCTTAACGGGTGGCTGGGGCTGCATATTACCGGGCCCCTCGGACGCGGCGCGCTTGAGATTCTTCTTCACCGGACGGGGCTTCGTCTCGCCGGGTTCGAACACGTCATCGGGCAGGTTCGTGTTCTTGAGGTGCTGGATGGACAGGAACATGAGGCCCTCGTCGAAGAGCTCGTTGGACGTGCACATGGACTTCCAGTCGTTCACCTCGCGCGACAGGTCGAGCGACTTGGCGCCCTCGACCAACTGCAGCCCGATGTAGTGGTTAGTGGTATAGATCTCCATTTCATCCGGCTCATCTTTCTTCTTCTGGGGGATGTCCTCCAGCTTGACCTCGCTGTTGGTGTCGTGGTGGGGTTCGGGCTTGACGTTGGAGGGCGGCGGAGGCTGGGTCGATTCCGAATGCTCCTGCTTAATTCGCATGCCGTCTTCGCCCCTCGTTTCGAGTTTCTCCTCCGCCGCCGCCGGTTCGCGGTTTTCCGCCTTGATCTCCTGTTTGACCTCCCGCTTCGGCTCGACCTTGGGTTCGGCCTTGGCCTTCTCCTCGCTATCGGCGGGGGGCTTGTACACGTAAGCGAGGCTGCCCACAGATACCACCTCTTCCCAGCTGCCTATTGTTCTTGCATCGGTGTTCTCTGTCGTAACCCTTGTTGAAGGGCCGGGCCAGGGCAATAGAATGGTGCCCCTCAAGTCTGTTAACCAACAGCCGCACCCGCGATTCGACGAAGCCCGACCAGACGTTCTGTGCCTTTTTGGTCCTGCTCGCCGCGATGACTGTGAGATAATATCTAAATCCCGAGGTGAAGAAGGTGTGCTTCGTGAAAAGGTCTTTCCACTGCCGCTTTCCCAGCATGATGTCCTCCGTTACCTGGATCCCATTCTCTAGCTCCTGTTTGATCACTGTCATGGAGGACTCGCCAATATTGTGAGTGGCGCACATGGATGGATAAGACGGCGTGATGATAGGCATCTTGTGATTCCTATCACTTGTATAAATCTACTCTGTGGTAAGACATCAGCGTCGACCAGGACAAGGGCACGACTCACCTTGGGATTCCACACAGGAACTCGCGTGACGGGACTACCGTACTCGATGTCCTTGAGGAGAACGGGAAGGGGCCAAGGCCATTTGAACATGATGTGGAAAAATTTATTGACGACTACCGCGCTCGTGGCCTTGGGGTAGAGTTGGCAAACCCGAGCGACGAGCATAGCCCATGCAACACCACCAGGATAACCCATGATGTTGGCGTATATGGCTTTACGTTGGGCCCAGAGCTTGATGGCTCGGAGGGCAAGCTTGAAAGTGGCCGGTTCGGGGACGAGGTGCAAGATGTCGTCTGTTACTCTTGTTCCGTTGAGCGAGCGCACTTCGTTCTCGCTGAGGCCGCGAAGGAGATTGTTGTCGGCCAAGCTCCAATTCTTCTCGTCCGGCAACTGCTTCAATGTCTGGATGGAGCAGAAGATGAGATCGATGCTGATGCCAGAGAACTCGAACTTGATGATGGGCACGAAGGCTTCGGGCACGGGGGTGAGGTCGGTGATGGCCCCGGGCGGCGCCATCTCGACGAGGACTTCGGGAAAGATCTCAAAGTACTGTTCAACCGTAACATATTTCGGCGCTACGACGAGAGTATCCATATCGGAGCCGGGTCCGTAGACGCCCAAGCGGTAACTGCCATATGTAAACACGCGGCCGATCGCGTCGCGAATCATAAAAGTGTTCTTGGGCTCTTTTTGGGCCGCCGCCCTCTGGACAAAAACAGTTGTGATCTTCTCGAGCTGGCGCAAAACCTCCTTTCTCTTCTCCGTTTCCTGAGGGCTCTCGAAAGTACCCTGCGCGCGCAATTCTTGGTGCAGCGCATGGTTCAGTCGTTTCTCTGGCTCGGTCGGCAGAGTGGTCGAGATTGGCGGCGTCACGCCGTAGATTATCTCGGACATGATGGAATCGAGAAGAGTTTGGCCAAAGTTCGATGACGGCGTCGGGGGATTATATCCCTATGGTGACGGTGTCGACGGGCAGAAACCGCGAAAGCCTAGTCGGAGGAAAGATGGTCGAAACGAGTGTCGCTCGCGGTTGGGAAAGTAGAAGAAAAAAAAAGGAATGAAAATTATGATAGGTGGGGAATGGGAGCACCTGCGCCGTCGCAAAGCTCAAGGCATGATATGGCAACGGCGACAAAGTAGAACTGGGAATTAGTTAGTTGCAAAGTTCAACAAAAGAATAGACGGCTGAAGGGCTGATGAAAGGAGAAGTGTATCACAATGGTAAAGGAGTGGGTCCTGGGTAAGCGCGTCGGATGGGAGTGATGCAGCCGCCTGGTCGCGTTAATTGAATTTGATTATTCACAATGTGTGTTGTACTATTTGCACATATTTATTAGGCTGCATTGGGGGGCTTGGCGCACCAAAATCTTGCAGCGCTGCCCCCGAGTTGGTCTCTGTCGCCTAAAAACTTTGTGCAAATAGTAGGACACTTCCTGCAAATAATCAAATCCCGTTAGATAAGTATTTGGCCCTTGCATCGCCGTACCAATACGGTATGGTATGGTTGGTAACAGTGGCTTGCCAACACTGGGGCTGAATGAACACAGGGATGCGTGCTATGCAGTTGACTGATGGGAAGAAATGAATGTCTTAAGCCAAGATGTACAATAAATAAACACAAACCCACACGACCAAAATATCAGTTGATATTGGCAAACACAACGAAGCCCACCTCTTTTCGGCATGCAACTTTGCGTATGGAAGCCATTACAATACTGTAAATACTGCACTCCCTAAATATGGATCCGCCAGTCGATCCCCGCCCCCGCCGGGATCCCGCTTCTTCAGCCTTGCGACGAAGCACATGCGACTGCGACATTCAGCCAACTGCCTGGTTCTGCAGTCGGGGAGCGGCGCAGAAGCTCAGCCTTCTTGAGCAGAACACTCGCCTCTCCCATTTCGAAAGGTTCGATGGGGGCAAACAATGAAGAAGACACTGTTGCTCTGTTTTATTCATGGCTTCAAGGTATGCTCAAGCCTTGCGCCAGGATCAGAAGGTGTTGGAAAGCTAACAAGACTAGGGTGATGACACCACCTTTGGCCGGAACTATGCCTTCGTCGAGCACCTCCGGAGGCTCATCGCCGTGGCTCTGCCCAAGATAAACGTTCAGGCTATCGTCTACCCAACGTTCGAGACCCGTGGCGACCTTGGTGAATGCGTCACGCGGTTCAGCGACTGGTGCGTACCCCACCAATCCCACAGCACCAAGCACCACCCTAACACCTTGGTATACCCTAGGCTTGTCAACAAGGTAATCGACCTCGAAGTAGCTGCAGGCACACCTTCCCCGACCATCGACCCGTCAGTGCGGGTGGTATTGGTGGGGCACTCGATGGGCGGCATCGTAGCCGCCGAGACAACCATCAAGATCGCATCGGAGAAGCCAATCCACAACTCGGTCAACGAAGACAGCCCGAATAAGCGCTCCACGGCGATGCCACCGGCGCCCAACGCGCTCATGTTCCCCTACATCCAAGGCGTGCTCGCCTTCGACACCCCCTTCCTCGGCATCTCCCCCGGCGTGGTGGCCCACGGCGCCGAAACCCACTACGCCACCGCGTCCACGGCCATCGCCCAGCTAAGCGGACTGACCAGCCTCTGGGGCGGCGCCAAAGCCGCCCAATCCAAGGCCGACCCGGCACCCGGCAACGCCCGCACGCTCCCAGCCCCGGGCCAGGGAAGCAGGGATGCCAACAACAACAGCGACAGCAAGAACAAAAACAACCAAAACAGCGGCTGGGGGTGGGGCACGATCGCGATCGCGGCCGGCGCCGTCAGCGCGGTCGCCGCGGGCGGGGCGGCGGCGTACCTGAACCGGGAGCAGATCACGCAGGGGCTGGGGTGGGCGACGTCGCACCTCGAGTTTGTCGGGTGCCTGGCGCGCAAGGAGGAGCTGCGGCGGCGCGTCGCCTACATGGTGCGGCTGCGTAGGGAGCTCGGCGTCGGGTTCGGGAACCTGTACACCCGCCTGGGCCAGGCCGCGGAAACCACCCAGACGGCGGTCAAAGCCGGCTCGGTGCTGGGGAGAAGCGACCGGACGTTTTGTGTCGTGCCGGAGCGGGAGGAGGCTGGCGATTGGCGGCAGGCGGTTAATGATAAGGCGAAGGACGAGGTTGGGGCCCATATGAGTGAGTGGCCTTTGCTTGTTTGTGGTGATATCTGGCTTGCTGTGGTGCTAACTTGACTGCAGCCATGTTCGAACCGAAGGAAAACCCGGGCCTCAGCAAGCTGTCAATGGAAGCGAGGGACATGGTCGCGAGCTGGCTTCGTAATGACTGGTACGAGAGTAGCTCGGCAAATCCGGCGCGCGCTTGAGGCGCCATGCATTTCGTTGAAGGGGCGGCTGTGATTATGTCGTAGATATTATGTACTAATGACCCGCTTCTGAGGGAAGTGCTATACAT